GATTAATAAAAAAAAATTTACCCCTAAGCCACATCATAGTGAAATTACAGAATCTCATGGAGAATAATGTTAAGTGCTAATCAAATGTGAAGACAGATGATCCTCAATTGTAACATTTAGACTTATAGTCACAGCAGGATCAAGATTCAGTAGGGTAGTATCTTCAAAAGGCTGAGAGATGCTATCACGCTAGAATTCTATGTTCAGCTGAACTCTTACTCAAGAATGAGAACAAAATAAAAACATTTTCAGACAACATCCAAGATAATAAAATCTCCAAAACTATGAAAGCATTTACTTCAGTAAAAAGGAAACTAGGGAGGAGGGGGAAATGGGAAATTATTATACTAATCAACAAACATGTAATTTCAATTAAACATGATAAATAAGTTCTAGAGATCTGCTATATAACATTGTATCTATAGTCAACAGTACTGTATTGTGCACTTAAAAATGTGTTGAAAGGGTAGATTTCTTGTTAAGTATTTTTTCCACAATAAAATAAAATTTACAAAAGGAAGGAAACTAAATTCAATTGAAAGGAGTGAATTATGTAAACAAATGATGAAGAAAGAGTATTAAACCACTCTTTTCTTTAAACAATATTAAACACCAAATCATTTCCATTCCCAAATCATAAAAACTTTGTTATGCTTTTATTTTAATATAAAGATACTTTAAAGAAATATTTTATTTGTTTCAATTTCCTATAAGTAAGTATAAATATTAATAATGCTGGTATGTTTAAGTAAAATGTGAAGTATACAAAAAATGAAATCTGTAACCTTAAAGAATTTTTTTTTTAATTTCAGAATATTATGGGAGTACAAACACTTTGGTTACATATATTGCCTTTGCACTGCTTCGGTCAGAACTACAAATGTGCCTATTCTCCAGAAAGTGTACACTGTAATCATTAGATGTGAATTTACTCATCCCCTTCTGCCCCCTCCCACCTGCCTGACACCCATTGAATGTTACTTCCATATGTGCACATCAGTGTTGATAAATTAAGGCTAATTTAATGGTGAATAAATGTGAAAAAATGGAAATAGAATGGAAAAAATGTGTTTTTCCATTCTTTGATATTTCATTTTGAAGAATGGACTCCAGCTTCATCCAGGATAATACAAAAGGTATTAGATCACCATTGATTTTATGGCTGAGTAGTACTACATGGTTGACATATACAGTATTTTATTAATCCACTCATGTATTGATGGTAACTCGGGTTGTTTCCACATCTTTGCAATTGTGAATTGTGCTGCTATAAACATTTGAGTGCAGATGTCTTTATTATAGAATGTCTTTTTTTCCTTTCGTTAAATACCCAGTAGTGGGATTGCTGGATCAAATGGTAGTTCTTCTTTTAGTTATTTGAGATATCTCCATATTACTTTCCATAGAGGTTGTACTAGTTTGCAGTCTCATCAGCACTATATGAGTGTTCTTACCTCTCTGCATCCACACCAAAATTTATTGTTTTGGGACTTTTTGATAAAGGTCATTCTCACTGGAGATAAGTGATATCTCATTGTGGTTTTGATTTGCATTTCCCTGATAATTGGAGATGTTGAGCATTTTTTCATATGTTTGTTGGCCATTAGTCTATCTTCTTTTGAGAAGTTTCTTTTCATGTCCTTTGATATGGTTGGTTGATTTTTTTCTTGGTGATTTTCCTGAGTTCTATGTAATTCTAGTTATCATCCCTTTATCAGATGTGTAGCATGCAAATATTTTCTCCTATTCTGTAGGTTGTCTGCTCTCATGATAGTTTCCTTGGCTGTGCAGAAGCTTCTCCATTTGATTAGGTCCCAGTTAGTTATTTTTGTTGTTGCTGTGATTGCCTTTGGTGTCTTTTTCATAAATTCTTCTCCTAGGCCAATGTCTATTAGAGCTTTTCCAACACTTTCTTCTAGAATTGTTATAGTTTCATGCGTTAGGTTTAAGTCTATTATCCACCATGAGTTGATTTTTGTGAGAGGTGAAATGTGTGGATACTGTTTCAGTCTTCTACATGTGGCTATTAAATTTTTCCAGCACCATTTATTGAATAAGGATTCATTTCCCCAGCGTATATTTTTGTCTGCTTTGTCAAAGATTAGATGGCTAGATGAGGATGATTTTATATTTGTGTTCTCAGTTCATTTCATTGGTCCTTGTCTCTGTTCTTGTGCCAATCTTATGTTGTTTTAGTTACTATAGCCTTGTAGTATAGCTTGAAGTCTGGTAAATTGATGCCTCTCAGTTTATTCTTTTTGCTTGAAGATTGCTTTTGCTATATGGGTCTTTTTTTTTGTTTTCATACAAAGCATAGAATTATTTTTTCTATATCTGTGAAAACTGATCTTGGTATTTTAGTAGGAATTGCATTGACTCTGTATAGACATTTTAACAATATTGATTCTGCTGATCCATGAACAAGGCATGGTTTTCCATCTGTTTACATCCTCTGGAATTTCTTTTCTCAGTGTTTCATAGTTATCCCTATATAAGTCTCTCACCTCCTTATTTAAATATATTCCTAAACATTTTATTTTCTTTGATGCTATTGTGAAAGGTTTTGTATTTTTTATTTCATTCTCAGCTTGACTGTTATTGGTGTATATGAGAGCTACTGATGTATGTGCGATGATTTTATATCCTGAGACTTTGCCAAATTCACTTATCAATTCCAGGAGTCCCTTGGTTTAATCTTTGGGATTTTTGAGATATAATGTCATATTGTTAGCTAAGAGTGATTGTTTGATCTCTTCTGCCCCCATTTTGATACTCCTGATTTCCTTCTCTTGTCTGATTTCTCTGGCAAAGATTTCCAGCACTATGTTGAATAGAAGTGGAGATAGTGGTCAGCCTTGTCTGGTTCTAGTTCTAAATGAAAATGTTTTCGATTTTTCTCTGTTCAATATGATGTTAGCTGTGGGTTTGTCATGTATGGCTTTTATCATTTTGAGGTATGCCCCATCTCTACCTATTATCTTAAGCATTCTTATCATAAAAGGGTATTGAACTTTGTCAAATGCCTTTTATGCATCTATTGAGAGGATCAAATGGGCTTTGTTTTTGCTTTTATTTATATGGTATTTTCCTTCATAGGTTTCCACTGTTTTCACCTGTCTGCTCATAGGAGTGCCTCTTTCATGTTTACTTTGGCCAGCCTAATGATTATGTGACATGGTGATTGCCTTTTCACATTGAATCTCCCAGGAGTCCTGTATGATTCTTGTACCTGGATATCTAGCTAGGCCAGGGAAATTTTCTTCAATTATTAACTTAAGTAAATTATCCAACCCTAATGTATTATTTTTCTTTACCTTCATGGATGTTTATGATTCTTATGTTTGGCCTCTTTATATAATTCTACATTTCTTGTAGGCTTTGTTTATGCCTATTGCTTCTGTATTCTTTCTCTTTGATTTATTTAGCTCATAGGTGTTATCTTCAAGCTCTGAGATTTTTTCTTCTGCATGAGCCAGCCTATATAAGCTTTCCAATGTGTTTTATAATTCTTTGAATGCATTTTTCACTTCCATAATTTCTGTTTGTTTTTTTCCTTAATACTTTGGTTTATTTAGAGAATTTTTCATTCAATTGCTGAAATTGCTTGATGAAATTCAATTGAATTTCATTCAATTGCAATTCAGAAGCCACTTTGTTTTTGTGACTTTTTTTGTGTTGGATTTCTATTTTCCCTGAATTTAATTGAGCATTCTTATAATCCATATTTGAAATTCTTCATTTGTCATTTTAACTGTTTTGTTTAAGTTGGTATCTGTTGCTGAAGAGATATTGATTTCTTTTGGGGGTGACATTTCACTCTGATTTTTCATGTTTCCAGAGTTCTTTCACTTGCTCTTTCTCATCTGGCCTTTTGGTCAAGAGCTGGAGGTGCTAGGGCTGGTTTATGGCCCTGTCTCCATATCCCCAAGGGTTGTTCCCTGACCATGCCTGGGAGATGAGTGCTGGTCCTGAGTTGTCTTTGGTGTGCTTTAGCAGATTTGATGAATCTCCTGGGTTACCTCTGATCTTTTGTCTTTACCTCTTCCCAAGGGAGTGTAGTGAGTTTGGTCCCCTAGCTTAAGTGCCAAGCTGGTGGATTGTACTTGTGGGTATGAATCCACTGTTCCCTAACAGCTTGAGATGGAAGGCACTATGTTTATCTATGGGATTGTTCCTGCTGTGATTGATTGTAGTTTGCATGGAGGAGCCATGCAAACTACAATCTATTGTGTCCATGGTAGGCTTTGGTCTCTATGGCTATGAATGGCTTGAGGCAAAATTACTTCCTGAGATACCAGGAGTGGAGGCAGTACAGAGGAGGAGCTGTCCAGATGCATGGATGCCAGCTCTGTGGTTCCTTGTGGTAGTCCCCCATGGAATTAGAACCCTGTGCCCCATTGCAGGCCTGAGGCATCCAGGTTGGGGAGAGGAGAAAAATCCCTTACCCTTTCCCTGGTCTCCAGAACTTTCTTGTTTTGGTTTGTGCCAATTTCTCCCTTTTATCCTCCTCTCTGTCAGCTACTCAGTTCCTCCGGGTGGTGTCCCTGGATTCTATTGATGTCAGTCCCTGTGATCCACTCCCAATCAGCAATCACCCTCTGCTCCCCTCAGTCCAACCCTGAACTCCTCTGCCAGGAAGGTCCAACAAGCCTTGATTCTAGTTAGTCACCTTGAAGTCCCCTCCCAAGAATTTTTGTTGCCATGTTATGGTGCCTATATTAAGAAGATAAGAAGGAAAGCAACATATAAAATATCATATTCACTATTATGTGAGCTGAATAAAAATGCATAGAAAAAATTGTAAGGTAATGTGCCAAAATATCTAAAAAATCCATATTTTTGGTGGCATAATGATATTTTCCCTTTTGCTTTACACTTTCCAAAATCCTACAATGGACATATATTACTTTAATAATAAAAGAACTTCAAAATACTTAAAAATATATTATTTTATTAAATTATGAATTTCACTAAATAAACACCATGTTTATATTTTTCAGGCAAACCTCTCCTCACCATCTTCTACAGTATCTGAGAGTCAACTGGTATGTATCTTCTTGCTAAATCATAGATCTATTTCTGAAAATTCTGATCTCTCAAGACAGCTTTATTGGAGTAAAAGAGAATAGAGAATAAATTTGCTACATATAAATTTATTCACTGACTTGTCTAATAAAAGCTTACTGATACTTTACTAAAGCTCTATGATGGTTGTTTTGCATGTGACAAACACACATAAAACTGTAAACAATCCTTCCCTGTCAGCAACTTGTACCCTAGTAGTGGCATTAGAAGAGGTCGGGTCAAAAGAAAAATGCTATTGGAATTTAGAGAGGAAATCTTACTTCTTATTGGGAGAGATCCAGAAAGGGATCAAGGGTGATGATTAATAATGTAGAGTAGTTTCTGAATTTGAGGAAATAAGAAATGAGATATTTCATACGGGAGAGTTAGCATATAAATTGTTTATACCAGTGCTGATGTACTGAAGCAATAGAAATACGTGAATGACAGAACCAAGCCACATAATGATTTTAAATTTTCTAGTAGCCACATTAAAAAGTAAAATTAAACAAGTAATGTTAATTTTGATAATCTAGTTTATTTAATGCTACATAAATATTACCATTTCTACTGATAATCCATTTGAAATTTGAGATTTTTTACATTCCTTTTCTGGGTGAAAATCTTTGAAATCTGTATATTTTACACTTATAGCAAATCTCAATTCAGACTAGTCACAAGGGCTTAACAGTGGGGCTAGGGACTGCATTGGGCAGCACAGATATAGACTCTAGAATCTGTTATTTATAGATGAAAATTTGATTAAATAGGATAATTACTTTTTCTTATAGTGTTTTGCATTTCTTTTTCCAATAGTGTTTAGCAAATTGAAGCCATAAAATAAATTTCCTAGACATCACTGGTTAAAGATTTTCTTTATATCTTTGAAAGTTTATTGTCTAAAATTATAAATTCCTGAACAATATACATCTTCAACAAAATTAATGGAAATTTTTAGTAAAGCATTCAGAGACATTAAGAAGACAAAATTACTGCTTAATACTGATTTTCCTACCTCCCTTTTTAAGCTATTGTTTTGGTGTCCTATATTCACAGCAAATAAGTCATCTTGCCATTATCATGCCAAAAAGACAATAATATTTTTATTTGTAATACTTTGAAATCTTTAAAAAGTATAGTTTGTTAAAATAACTTGATTCAATCAAACCATTTGAGTATTCTAGCATTTATACATATATTGTATATATGGAGTGTGTTTGAGTGTGTGTGTGCAATTTTAGTGCCAATTGGTTAGAACAGTGGAAATAGTGCAGTCTACTTGAAAGAATGCTGGAATGAATGTCAGAAGACCTACCTTATACTTCCTGCTCTGACATTAACTAATAGGCTGATAGGGGATAAGTCACAAGTTTGGGAGTCTGGAGTTCAATTTCCTAATTGAACAATGAGAGCTTTCTATTATATACTTTCCAAGCCCTTCCAGTGCTGTGAATCTAGGGTTACCAACACAGTGAAGCTGAAGGAGTTGCTATGGAAACAAGCACTGCAATAACATAATGAAATTGAACAGTGATTTTCTACTTTAGATATGGAAATATTCCTGCAACTATTTTAATATTTAAAATAATAACATTTATTTTTTGAGAGTAATATATGGAAATCAAAAATGTTTTGAACATTCTCATATATAATTTCAGTCAACATCATGTACAAAATACAAATTTTAGATATTGGCTGACTAAACATGTGTATATGTATGTGTGTATTTTTTATATATTTCAGTCTGGTTTAATTCTTAAAGAAATTATTTCAAAGAGGCAAATATATATATAATGCTTTTATAAAATGAGACATAGTAAAAACAACTCATTATGAATGAAATAAAAATACTTTTTTTGACTAATTAAATAATCCTGTGTTTGTGTTCTCTAGGGGAAACAATACAAAGCATTACTTTGACTGACTTTGATGATAATTTCTTTGCATTTACTTTAGACTTTTCTTAAGGAGTTCAAAGAATATTTTAACCAAGTTTTAAATTAAGTTTTAATCTCAAAATGCCCTTGAGATATAGGTAGGTTTGTGAAGGGATTATTATCAAGCAAGCTTGTCACAAAAGATATGAGTATCTCTTAGATTGATATAATTATTCAATTCAATCACTTTGCTTTCTATTTTGTGACATTAACCCTGTATTTACACTATCTAAGAGTGAATAATCAGAGTGGAAATAATTGTGTGCCAGGGCTGTTATATGTCATTTAGTTCTTTAAGGAATTAGAGTATTTTTACTCCTAAGTAATATAATTTATGAGTAAAATTATATTTTTTTCATTTTTATGAATCAATTTTCAATATTTTCCATAATGAACTCTCTTCAGGATTAATTTCTGAATAATATGAGTAACTAAGAATGGCTTTAAAAATTATGATATTCATATTTTTATATATGTATGTGTTTATAACACATAAATACATATAGATGCCACATGTCAGATAGATAATTCTGATTATTTATATATATTTAGATATCTTTGTTCTGATGTGTGTATATATGTATATATATACACATAAAAACAAAGTTATTGAGAATGTGTGCTATATACATACATATGCTATATATGCTAGTATATAGCTAATTATATGCTATATACTAGCATATATATGCTATATATGCTAGTTAAATTATATAAATATATATTTTATGCTTTGTATAAAATATGTAGTTAGTTAAAATTATTTGACTCCTATTTTATAAGGGAAATGTAGCAAATTAGTTGAAGAGAAAGTATGGGACAAATTGCTATGGTACCCCCACTAAATACAAATCTCAAATTGTTTTTGAGATTTGAGTTTTAAATGATATATCATTTTTTCATGCTTATTTATTTATTGTTTTTTACCTTGGCTTACCAATTTGCTTGTTTTCATCACAACAATGCCAGTTCAAGATTGGAAGGAAAAAAGAAATAGGACCACTATCCTTATTCTTAAAATATTTCTATTGTTTACTCTGAAAGCCAGTGATTTAGGGTTGGGCTTGGGAGACCATTTTGGAGGCCCTTAAGAAGCTAGTTCACCAATCTCAGTTTCTCCCCTTCTATGAAGTAGCATTGCTGAAGAACAGTACTGGAAAAGAACTTAGAGATGAGGATATTGGAAATACTCATCTATAAACTGGAGAGTGGAATAACTACTCTGTCAATCTGAAGTGGTTATTGTGAGGCTCATGTATCATAATATGTGGAGTTCTCAATATAGTCCTATAGACAGAGGAGGTATCTATTGCACATAAAATCTCTGAGTTATCAAAACACAAGATGAGTAGTCCTTGTTAAAGACAAAGAAACAGAGAATCATAAAGTTTAGATAGATTATCTAAGATCACAGTATTAGTGTTCATCCTTATTCTGCGCAGCTTTCAAAAAGGATTCATTGTTACTGACTTTAGATCATTCAAGGATAATAAGAAAAGATTAATAAAGGAGTTGGGAAATTAGGCCTTTATGGAACTATTACTTTCATTAGGCACTTCCTATGTCTGGCTCTGCCTGGTGTTTCTGCATTTCCTGAAAAATCTGATTACTTACTGAATAGGAGCCAGGGTAGAATCAGAGTGTTAAGTTTTTTGCCCCTGTAGATAGTGCTTCCTCTATCATATTAAAAGGAGTAAGAAGAAAGGAAAGATCCAGGATTTAGAATAAGCCTTCACAAAACTTTCCTAATTTTTGAGCTGAACCATTACAGAGGTATTAGCAAAGGCTGGTGGGTCTCTTTTCTCTGCAAAGAAGAATTTAGGTTCCACAGGATGGGTAAGAATTGGTCTTCCTTGGCATTAGGGAAGCCTGGTTTAGATGACATTTGACTTTTGCTTTTAGGATTTCATGCCATTACAAAATGCTCAGTGCTGCCCAGGATGGAATACTGAATCTAGAGAGTGCCAGAACAATAGATTTTAAAAAATCAGCCACATGGCAATATATAGGTAAAAGCGAAATGGAAATTACTGGAACACTATAAAGAAGAGTGCTTAAACTTGTAGATACTTTGTTCCTAGTTCTGGATACCAGCCGATGACTCAGCCGTGCATGACTCATCTTTCTGAGGGCCCTTGAGGTCTCTGTTGTTCAGAAAATGCAGCCCTGAAAGCTTTTGTGTGGAACTGATGTCTTCTTCAAGCTCAAAGGCAGTTCCTCCTTGACCAGCTTTTCCCTGACATAACATACTTAAGTGTTACAGCATTTATCATGTACGCCTCCTCAGGTTTGAGTCATGCTATTGTCTTTTCTTTAACCATTGAATTATTTCAATCTGGCCAATCTGTATTGTGTGTCTTTCACAAAATGTTTTTTGAGCTATGGGATAGGGTTTATAATTATTGAAGTTCTATGCATGTTTAGCTTTATATAACTATTATAATAATATAAAACATTTTTTAGAAAGACATATCAAGTAGATACTTTCCCGGACTGTCTAGATCATTAAGAACGAACACTATGTTTATAAAAGTAAAATATATATTCTTTTTTTTTCTTTCAAACTTCTTTTATGCTGTTTTTTCTTTACAAAGTTCTGTCATGCTTATTATTCATTAGATTCTCACAATCACCTTGTGAGTTAGTATGGCAGGGATTGCTATTTCTATTATTTTGATGAAAAGCTGAAGTTCATATATCTAGAATGCCATGTCAACTGTCCCCTGGTAATGGGTAATATAAAAATCTGTTTTGCTTTTTCCAATATTAGGAGCTTTACCCTATGCCATAGTGTTTTGAGATCTGAGATAGTTGTTTGAAGGGAAAAAGAAGCTTAAATATTTGCTGCAAGCATATGATATTGTTTCTCTTAAAAAATAATTAGAGCCAATAAACATGTATGAATTGAAAGAGTAAATCAGAAAAATAATTTACAGCATATTACTTTTGTCTACAATCTTGACTGGTAGAATTATTTTGAGTTCGTACAAACTTTTTTTGCCATGGAAATACTAAAGGGGGGGAAAAGCACTGGAAAATGAAGACAAAACTTAACCAAATGGGTAAAAGAAACAACGATGGCACTTTCCCAAACCCTCTGGATCCGTCAAATTAATATTATTTCTAGCCAGACTCACAGAATTTACTATATGCTATCTTATTACTTTCTTGCTGTTTTGTTACACATCTTATCTCTCCAGAAAGATTAAAATAAATCGTTGCAAGTTGGGACCCTGTCCTTTATTTCTTTTGGTGCTCTATTACATCACCTCAGAGCCTACTACTGTAGTCAAAAGCAATTAAAAAACATCAATCCGCTAGTTGAAGTTACTAATTTAAGAAAGATGTTGCTCTAAGAAGCCATTATTTTAAAATATTGGTAATGGATTCTCTAGGTCAGCGCTGGCAGTTAATCTTCAAATTCGGTCTCTAGCCAGAGGCTCTACCAACTTGCTGTCACACTATTATGATTAGAAGTTCCCAAGGATGAAAACATTGTCTATTTTTACAGTGCCCCAAGTGACAATGTTCAAGTACAAGTGTATACTTGATGGATTATAAACACAAATGAATAGCAGGCTTAGACTAGTGCCTTACAACCCTTCAAAATCTGCCGCTGGGCTCAGGTGACTCTACATACTCTATCCTGTGGACAGTTTCTCCCCTCAAAAATAATAGTAGAATCAGATATGATCTCCATAGCTCTACCTCATTCCCAGCTCTTGAATTCTTCAAAAAAAAAAAAAAAAAGATGACATCATCGTCTTTTGGAGTTTTACAGCTTATCACCATGAGCAAAGAAAGGAAGAACAACAATCTTTTTTTTAAAAAAATAGAGAGGGTTAAAATCTTGTGAAGTCCCTAAGGAAGTGGTCTCTGCTCTTGACTTCCTGTTCCCTCAGAGATGATAACTTTAGCCTTCTACTCTTACCTCTGAGGGTAGAGCTCACCATCCCATCTTCTCACACAGTTTCCTCTTTCTGGGTTAAACTGTGATCAAAAAGTCAGTCAACCCAGGAGAAATAATAGGAGATCCCAAGCAGTCAATGCTCCTCTTATGGCCTCCATATTGGATTATAGCCAGCATACTGGGCTTCTGCCTGCCAATGAACTCACTCATTCTTCAGATATTTATTGAGCACCAACTAGGTGCCAGGTACCATAGGTGTTAGAGATATAAGAGTGAATAAAACAAAGATCTCTGTCCTCCCAGAGCTTACATTCTAGTGGAGAAAGCAAGACAACAAACACATAAACAGATGTCAGGTGGTGGTAAGTGCTATAGAAAAATAAGGCCAGTAAGGGGGGTGGAGATTGTTATTTTATATGGATCATTAGGAAAGATACATCTGATAAACTGATATTTGAACAGACTTGGAGTAAAGCACTGGAAAGGAAGAAAAGAGTTTCAGACAGATGGAAGAACAAATACAAACTCTTAGAGGAGGGATTATCATAGTATCATAGTGTGTGAGCTAGAGTAGTGAGAATGAGAGGGTACAAAAGAGAGTAGTAAGAGATTGTAAAAGGAGAGGCTGATTAAGAATAGGAAAGATCAGGTCATCTAGCACCCTGTAGGCATTTCCTGAAAGGCATTGCAAGGGTTTTAGACTATACTCTGAGTGAGAAGGTGAAGCATTAGAAGAGCTTTGAGAGTGGAGTTGACATGACTTGATGTGCAATTGAGTGACATCACTTAGAAGGTGTGTGACATGACTTGACTTATATCATGGTCATCCTGTGGTTTACTCAACTGGATTGTGAGCCCCATGAAAACAAGGAGTATGTATTATTCACCTCTGTATACACCATAGTTCTTGACACAGACTAAACCTCAACTGGAAAAATTGTTGCAAAGCGTATCTGATAGAGGTGTGCTTCAGAGTTGCAAAACAGTTATTTCCTCTATAAGACACTACAAAAATGTCTCACACCCAATGTAAATCAGTTATCAGTAATTTAATCATAATGAATTGATATTTTCCATTTGGAGAATCTTCTCATTTTTCTTCCTGTGCCCTTTGTGCTGACTATGACTGTTATTATCTTTTTTATTTTTCTACTTAGTCTGGAAAGAAAATTATGGAATTGCTTTCTCTGGCATCATTATAGTGACCTTTATGACTCCAGTTCTTCTATGGATTCTACAGCAGATAAAACCAAATGAAGGGCTTCTTTGTGCTAGTTTAGTTGTAATATTACTAGACAATGACAATCTTACAGTAGTTCACTTTTAGAGACTCCTATAACTTGATTAATTTCTTTTGAATTTCTTTGGACACAGACTTAGCAAATAAGATTTGCTAGAATTAGAGAAGTTCTTCAAGACAGATTCTATTTGAAGTTTAAAAATATCAAGTTGCTATGGGCAGAGATGCAATGTAGATTAGAAATTAATACAGGAAATCTGTTGCAAGGCCTCCCCTTTAGTCTGGAGATAGAAGAACAGGGCTCACTAGATGTATCTGAGGTGGTAGACCAAGAAAGTTCTATCTCTACATGAACAGCACAGTTTAATGGAACGAGCCTATTGTCTTTCAGTTTTTAATGTGTACATGAGTCAGCCAGAGATTTGTTGAAATACAGATTCTGATTCAGTAGGTCTGAGATGGGGCTTGAGATTTGGCACTTCCAGCAGGTTCTGAGATGATGCCGACACTGCTGGTCTACAGACTTCCTTCTGAGTGTCAAGGTGATAGCAGACAACTGTTTATTAGATATAACCATTAGTTTACTTTGTGTTGCAATTTTGTCTTTAGCAAATGTGAATTATGTGAGTATTCAACGAAGAACAAGGTATTAGAACTGAGAGAAAGTGAACTAATATTCCAAAGAGACTTATGTGTACCAATAACAGTGACAGTTCCTTTACACATAGACTTCTAAAAGGCATTTTGAGATCCTTGCCTGCATGATGGATTTGAATATGCAGAAACAAGCCTTTTTGTAATGAAACTCTATGTGGTATAATTCCTGAGGGGGCAGAAAGGTAAGTAACAAACTGTGTCATTACCCATTATTAAAGGACTTAATCATGGATTAGAATTATAACCCTTCAACAGAAGGTCTAGACAGGTCAAATGGCTTTTCCAAGGTCATACAGTCTATTAAAACTAAAATCTATGTTCATGATGCTCTCCTCCTACCAATTTCATGCTGCTTTATGGGACTGGATTTTAACCAAGTCCAGAAAAGCATCAGTGTAAAATCTGATGCCTTGACCATGCAAATTATGGAGTTTTTAGGAGGTAAAAGCATGTGTGTGTGTGTGTGTGTGTGTGTGTGTGTGTGTGTGTGTATCTCAGAAACTGAAAACATTGGGTCTTTGAGTGTTCTGGAAATATTGACATAGAATGAGGTAGCAGTGGCCGAAATCAAGTATGTTGCAGTTGACAGTGAAAATAAAACAGAAACAATGAATTTATGAGGAATAGAACTAAATTAAAAAAAAAAAAAAAACAACCTAGGATTTTGTTACTGCTTGGACAGGGGAAGTTACAGAGAGGTAGATGTTTAATGATGATTTCAAGTTTCTATATGTTCTATGTGCTCTCTCTCTCCCCTCTGGGATAGGCATAGAAATAATTAAAATCATAGGCTTAATGATCAGACAAGACTTAGATTTAAACTTTGACTTCACATATTAACTGCATGACTTTGGCATGTGACTTATCATCTTTAAACCCCTCACAGAGTTTATAAGGAATTGATGAGATAATATATCTAAAATATTGAGTACAGTTCTTGATTCTATATTGATAGAATATGGAATCTGGGTCTATGGAACAATGATGGTGTCATTAGTAGCACTGGGTCCTCAAGGGTTGTGGAGCTGGTTTTGAAGCATGTGTAAAGGCATAAGCAAGATGCAGAGACTGTCATGTGCATGATTTGTTGGTGTACTGTGATTTGTGGAGAGTGCATGAGGTTCAGAATTGGGCCACTAGAATTAGTTTTCCAACTGGACAAATACTGAGAAACAGTTGCATTTGGAGGATATGGTTAGAAGTCATAGGATGGAATTCACAACCCCAAATGTGAACAATGTCAAAGGCAAACTATGTCTAATCTTCTTTTGCTTAGAGTTGGCTTTTATGCATCTGAAATACTGACTACTGGGTCAACAAGTTAAGGTGCAAGAGCAGAAAACAGGACTAAAGGAAAAGTCAGTTATATACAATTTAAGAATCAGGGAAGCCACAGGAAGACCAATTAAGCAAAGATAATGAGGAAGACTCAGGGACTTCACATAGACCAAGCCTGGGAACAGAGTCCAAGAAAAGAAGGTAGAAAATCTGATAGAGTAGAAGAAATAGGGCAAAAATCATTGTCTCATTGTCAGACAGCCATCAAATCTAGGAAACTCTTAGTAACTAAGGAGAATAAGAGTGGTAGAGAAACAAATATGAAGCATCAGGCTGATTCTAACACTGAATGTATTTGATAGCCAGCCAATCAGAAGAGTCTTTTTTCTGTCTCACCCTGGAGGGGGGTGATCACAAGACTGAAGATCTGGTGAGAGGCCAGAATAGCCCCAAATATATGCCTACTGGAAATAAAGGGACCAGGTAGTCATGTTTCTCTGCCAGGGAGATTCTCTTAACATACCAAGTGCTCCTGGTCAGATTTCTTCTCTCTGCCTTTTTCTTTATGCATACTGACACCAAGTTTAGCCCCTATAGTTCTAGGTTGGATTTAGAGCCTTGCAGGCCCTGAGTACTGGAGTTATATTGATTTCCTGCCTCATAAGGAAGTAGAAGAGAAGGAGAAGCAGTAGGAGCATAAGAAAGAAGAAATGAAGTAGGAAGTCAACTGAAAAAGAGAGAGAGTAATCTGGACAACTTAGGACCGTGGCTCAGATGTCAGGCACCTCCCTTATTACAGTGGCTGTAGAAAACAGTAACTGCTTTGGCTTTGTTCCTGTGCTACACTTACTGGAGGAATATTGCTCTCATCTGTATACTCAACGGCATGATTTCATGCATAATTGGATGTTACTTGCTCATTTTTTCCCCTCGAGAGAAATCAAAGTTTCTTAAGTGGGAAATATTTCTCAGCCTGGGGAAAATAGAGACTTTTCTCAATCTGTATTTCCCCAGTTGTCATAGACATGAAAGACAACTGGGAAAATATCTATTGAAAAAACTATCGCAAGGCAACATTTATTCAAGGCTCAAAATATATCAGGTGCTTTATAGAGCAGAGAGATAGATGTAGTCCCTTAAGGCTTAACTTGCGAGCACAGCATTGAGGGAGGAAAGCTAATTTACTGTTTTCTGAAAGGAAGTGGAGTTGAGAAGAATAATTGCAGCAAAATGCTTAAACAGAGTGTCACAACTTTTTATTGAATTCTAGTTTGGGATGTTTTTGCAGACTTATCAATCATTTTGTGACATTTTACAGTGTAACAAGATTTTGGTGTTTGTGAAACATCATTTTGAAATTGCCCCAAACTAGAGCATGCACTCTCTCTCTTTTTTTTTTTTTGTCAAGTCGATATTGAGTATAAGTTTTAGAATCGTGAATGAGTGATATATTTGCTAAAACTCTTGATTGCAAGTTACAGAAGTAAACTTGAGTTAAAGAAACAGGAATCTGGTGTAAAAGAAGAGGTAAGTCTTAGGGAACTTCAGGGAACTCCACCTAGGCCCCAGGAATGTTTTGGGACCTAATTCTGAAAAACTCTCAGGTGTCTCTTTTCTCTGGGCTACCTTTCCACACATTTTGCTCTATTCTTCTCGATCTCAGGAGATTTGATTTTTTGGTCAAATGAAGGCTTTCCCACAGCTTCCATATTGACATACAATAATTTCAGTCTCCCAAAGTAATTGGAGAGCAGTTAAATTCCTATTTCACCTTCTTGGGAGAGAAAATCTATTTGCTACCCACTCCTTACCCCTTTAGGTCAGAAAGCCATCCTGGTCTCATTGTACATAATATGAATATGGCTTCTGGGAGCCCAAGTCTGTGGATATAGGGGCATAGCTGTTTCCAGAAAAAGAAGGTTGTTGTGGGTTTGGTGGATGTGCCTAAGTCATCTATTCTACCATGCCCAGAATGCTACCTGGCACAGGGGCTATTCTCAGTAAGTATTTATTAAATGAAATATTTGTTGACTGAATGAACATGTTTGCATAGATAAGATATTTTTGCATTTTAAATGTTACAATAGTAGATCTTTATGAATTGATTGCTGTAATAGTTAACTTCAAACTAAAGTGATGTTAGTTAAAAATCATTTGCTTTCTGGGCTGTTTTTATGCATTTGTAAAATCATTATAAAATTTTAAAAATTTATACATTTTTGTGGGAACAATATTTGGATGAATTAATACACATAGCTATTCATTTTAATAGTGTTTATTTCCCTGTTTCTCTAAAACTTATTTGACATTCATGAAGACCAAGCCTGGAGTAATTCGCCCAGTACCTGTAAAATCCAAAATATTACTGAGAAGAGAGGAGGAAGTCTATGAACCCAACCCTTTCAGTAAATACCTGGAAGATAACAGTGACCTCTTTTCTGAACAGGTGAGCATACCCATGAGAAAATATTTGATACTTTTATAAATGACTGTATAAAATGCCTCTGTGAATTTAGTATGTGCAAGGAAATGTTTGTGTGATTGGAGTATCCTTGGTAATAAAAAATATAATTTTTGAATGATAAATAGGAATTGTTATATAAATCCAGGATGGTATTTTGAAGCATTTCAATGGATTTTTTTTCTGAAATGTTTCTGAAATATTGGTATTATTTTGGGGATCAATATACTACTCTCCAAAAAGACATCATGAAATCACTGTTTGTATGAATCATATAGATGTTGCATTCCTATTTCTAAAATCCTGTTTTCTTTTGAAGAGATGTGATATGGTATATCTGAGTCAACAGAAGTCCTAAAGTTTGTATTCATGTCAAAATAGAGATGGTGTAATCTCCTAGATTTAGTAGTACTAGTTACTGGATAGGGATTCAAACCATTTTGAGGATTTGCTATTCATTTTGTTTATGTGTGAAAAATATATACTATATTTCCCTTATATATCCTATATGTTGGAGGAAGTATAAGGGAAAATTGCCAATAGTGCTTTATAAGATATTTTAGAAAAATACAAAAGTACACATTTATACAATATAAAACTTCATAAATAATATCAAAGAGAAACTTTACATCTTTGTCTTATTAAAATGTAAAAAATAACCATGGGCTATATATTTTATATCTTAAACATTATTAAATGGGTAAGCAATGTAAGAGATTCAGAAAACTTTCTGGATACAATCAGAACATATAAGATCATCACATTTTAAATCTACTAAAATAGATTTATAAAGGAATATAAGTGATATGGTCTTTTAAAATTTTTCTTTGAAAATGATAACCCACAATATTTTTTAAAATATCAATTACATTTATGTTTATAAAACATAAAGAATATCTTATCTGCCACATGTTGGCTCTATAACCCTGGGCGAGTGGTTTCATGTAAGTTTCAGCTTTTTTTTTTGTCAATACATTTAGGGGGTACAAGAGTTTTTTGTTATTGTTACATGGATGAATAATGCTGAAGGCAGAACTTTTCACTAAAAGTTATACCTATAACAGAATAACATACATTGTCCCAGATAGGTAGATTTTTATCCCTCACCACCCTCTTACTCACTCTACCTAGTTTTCAACATCCATTACACAACGTTATGACATATAAATGCACTCTTTATCTCCCACATGTAAGGGGGAACATGTGGTATTTGTTTTTCCATTCCTGAGATACTTCACTTAGGATAATGATCTCCAGCTCCATCCAGGTTGCTGCATAAGACATTATTTCATTCCTTTTTATGGCTGTGTAGTCCTCCATGGTATACACCATATTTCTTTATCCACTCATCTGTTGATGGGCACTCAGGTTGATTCCATATCTTTGCAACTGTGACTTGTGGTGTGATAAACATATAGGTACAGTTATCTTTTATAAAATGACTTCCTTCAGGGATTGCTGAACCAAATGGTAGGTCTACTTTTGGCTCTTTGAGGAATCTCCATACTGTTTTCCATAGAGGTTGTACTAGTTTACATTCCCACCAACTGTGTATAAGCATTCTCTTTTTACCACATCCATGCCAACAGCTATTGTTTTTGACGTTTTAATGGCCATTCTGACAGAGGTAAGGTGGTATCTCATTGTGGATTTGATTTGCATTTCCCTGATAATTAGTAATATTGAGCATTTTTTTTCTTTTTTTTTTTGGCCTTTTTTTTTTTTTTTTTGGAAAAAAACTTTTTTTAGTTTTTTCCCCCCTTTTTGATGGGGTTATTTGTCTTTTTGTTTCTGATTTGTTTCAGTTCATTGAAGATTCTAGATATTAATTCTTTGTTGAATGTTAGTTCTTTGTTTGTGAATGTTTTCTGCCATTCTGTAAATTGTCTATTTGTTGATTATTTCCTTTGCTATGCAGAAGCTTTTTAGTTTAATTAAATCCACTTTTTTTTTTGTTTTGTTGATGCTGTATTTGCTTTTGAGGTTTTCATCATAAACTTTGCCTAGGCCAATGTTCAAAAGAGCTTTTCTTATGATTTCTGGAATTTTTATGTTTTCAGTTCTTACATTTAAGTCTTTAATCCATCTTGAGTTAATTTTTATATATGGTAAGACATAGGGATCCAATTTTATTCTCCTGTATGGCACTATCAAATTTTTCCCAGCAGTATCTATTGAATAGGGTACCCTTTCCTCATTGTAAGTTTTTGTCTGCTTTGTTGAAAATCAGTTGGTTGTAAAGATATGTCTTTATTTCTGGGATCTCTATTTTGTTCTTTTGGGCCCTCTACTTTTATACTAGCACCATGCAGTTTGGTTACTATAGCTTTATAGTGTAATTTAAAGTCAGATAATGTGATACTTCCAGATTTGTTATTTTTGCTTAGTATTACTTAGGTTATTCAGGCACTTTTTGGTTCAATGTGAAGTTTATTTTTTCAAGATCTGTTAAAAATGACATTGGTATGTTGATGGGAATTGCATTGAATCTATAAATCACTTTGGGTAGTATGGACATTTCAACAATGTTGATTCTTCCAATCTGTGAGCATGGGATATTTATGCATTTGTTTTTGTCATCTGTGATTTCTCTCATCAGTGTTTGGTAGTTCTCCTTGTAGACATGTTTCACCTCCTTAGTTAAGTATATTCCTAGGTATTTTATTATCTTTGGAGCTATTATAAATGGTATTGAGTTCTTGATTTTACTCTTGGCTTGAATTTTACTAGTGTATGGAAATGCTGCTGATTTGTGTGCATTGATTTTGTGTCATTAACCCTAACTGGATCTGAAAGCCCTTTTTAGCCTTGAAAAAGTTCAATGTAAATATTTTCTTGTGATTAACTATAGTTTGTATTTATAAAATGAAGATGAAAATATTTTTCATTGATTTATGTATACTTTATGAAAGTGCTATAATTTTGGTAAATTTGAATTTTTAGAAGGCACTAATATCTTTGAAAATTATAATTACAAGCAATTATTTTTATTTGTGGAATAAAATATCATCCTAAAATTAAATTAAATAGAGAAATCTTAAAGATATATGTTTGTCTTCACTAATTCTGTACATAGCAGAAATAGAAATTTCTATTGAGAAATCATATCTCCATCATCATCAAAAACATTTATAAAATGTCTATTGTTTGCAATATATGAATACTCTAGGGGCTTACTGTGAAGTTTTAGACAGTACAGAATAATTATAAAAAGTTTATAAAAAATAGTTTAGTGATTATGTGCAAAACAAACTGCCAATAATTAAATTTCACACATTATCCATCTAACGTACATTCTTCAAAATATCATCTAATGTTATAAAATAATAATCTTATTATTTTATGTGTGTATAATTTTAAATTTGTGCATTTTATTTCACTCGAGGTTCCTGCAGAATATCAAGTTAATCTATCCCCTAATTTATCCTATGTACTATCTTTTGGAATGATAAATTCCATTTTCAAGTGCAGGAAATTCTTATCATTAAAAGGAATTGCCATTTCTTTTCATTGCTTTTTCTGACTATCAAGTAAGTTTAAAGCTCTGTTTATGTTACAACGTAAATCCATTTCCAAATACTTGGCTGCATATTTGACCTCTTTTATAAATATTAAGTTACCATAGACATAATCTTATTTGTATTTTCTTTCAACCAATTTGTTCTTGTTTGTATCTCCACTTGAATGTGAAACATTAGAAGTAATAGCAGATGGTGAACTGTCAGAGCCGAAGGTAGCCTAGCATACTACTAAAAATGAATTCCAAACATCTCCTGGTCGTATTCATTAACCTTGAATGAGAGGGAAAGATAAGATAGAACCTTGGGGCACTATATATCCAGGAAACTGTGTATGCTATCAATTGGCCTTTTTATGCTGAGCTCTAAGTACCATATCATTGTGTCCAGAATCTACAGCGGAGGTAGATACCAAAGACAGCTCACAAGTGTAGATTCTTATGTCTATTTAAAAATAAATTAAATAATAACAATTTATAATCTGGGCATTGCTACTTCATCAGAACTGCAATAGAAGAAAGCAGACTCAATTTCAATTTTAGTCACTATTGTGTTCTCTTACACTGTTGCCACAGACTAAATTGAATGGTTCCAAGCTCAGTTGATCTCACCCACCCATGTAATGGAAAATTCTTTAGCCAGACAGTTGGGCCAAAATGAGGCAGCTCACATTCACTAATCTGCCTTGTACTGGGGACAGTTCCACATGACAGGAGATGTTGGATGGGATTGTTAAGTCAATAATTTTATCCTAGCAGCTTCACTGCCATAAAATATGATTTCAAAACTCTGTTACAAAGTGTCAGACACTAAAGATGATGAGACTAGACAGAAATGTATTTACTGTAGCTCAAAAAGGTACAGCTGGGCAGCCTTTTGAACTGATCATGAACTGAAAATTTGCCTAGGAACAGCCTTTGGGTGCTAACAGCAAAGTTTGAAACCAAAGCATAATTAAGTAATTGAGACTTTTTAATCACCAACTTTTAGATCAAAATGCCATAGGCCAAAAAGCATCATTCTGTATTAGAAGGGTTTCTATTTTAACAAAAAGTCTTCAGAATGAGGACTATGCTTTTCTGAAATTATCTTCCAATCCATTATTGTGTCAATATGTGGTCATTTTGAGTTATTTTAAAAATATCTTCACATTCCACTCTACACCTATGGACTTAAAACCCTGCTGATGTGTTTTGAAGCATATTTCTATTTATAATTAGAGATAGAGTTGGAAAATAATTATCAGAATTCATTGGACAAATGGGCATCCCGAAGATATAGAAGATCAGAAAATCAATTTGCTAATGAGAATAAAGATACTAAAGAG